CCCCCCCCCCCTCTCGCCCTAGCGCGCGCCGCTCTTATGAATAGTCCGAGTCCCTCTCGTGGTCGCCTCCCTGCTCCCTCCTCGCCTCCCGCCTTCCCTTGGTCCTCCCGGTCTCCCTTCTCCATCTCCTCCCCCCGCTCGTCCCGCTCCTGCGCCTGCCGCTTCTGCTCCTCGTCGTCCTCCGCCTTGCTCCTCCTTGCCATTCCTCCTCCCTCTCCTCCTCCTCCTCCCCTTCCTCCGACCTCCGCCTCTTCCTCCTCCTCCTCCTCCTCCCTCCTCCTCCTCGCCCTCCTTCCTCCCTCCCTCCCTCCCTCCCTCCTCCTCCTCCTCCTCTTTCCTCCTTCCTCCTCCTCCTCCTCCTCCTCCTCCTCCTCCTCTCCTCCTCCTCCTCTCCCTCCCTCCCTTCCTCCCTCCCTCCCATCTCCCTCCCCCCCTCCCTCTCATCCCTCTCTCCCTCTCCCCTCCCTCTCCCCTCCTCCTCCTCCTCCTCTCCTCCTCCTCCTCCTTCCTCCTCCTCCTCACTCCTTCCTCCTCCTCCTCCTCCTCCTCCTCCTCCTCCTCCTCCTCCGCCCTCACTCCTCCTCCTCCTCCTCCTCCTCCTCTCGTCCTCCTCCTCCTCCTCACTCCTCCTCCTCCCCCTCCTCCTCCTCGCTCCTCCTCCTCCTCGCCCTCGCTCCTTCCTCTTCCTCCTCCTTCTCCTCATCTGCCACTTCCTCCTCAAGTGCACGGCTCTCCTTTTTCTGCGTGCGCGTACCACGGTGCTGTCCTTTCTCGGGGGTTCCCGGTCCGCCATGTGTCACCCGTCGGCGGACCGAGAAATTTAGATCAGCACCCTGGGAAGGGATGGCTGGGAGGGGAGGGTGTCAGATATGGAGCAGGCGCGCCTAGCTTGAAGTCGGGCGCGTCCCTCTACAGGAGGAATCTTCACACATAGTAAAAGCATGGAGTGGGGATGACTTCCTTTCATTTTTGCATATTTTCGAATATTTCTCTTGCTTATCATCGAGTCAATCCGCCTGTGGGAGGACATGCCCGACCCAGGCCTAGCTTTCCCTTGCCTCTTTTCGCCCACGCCGCCTTGTCCCTCTTCCTCCGAACCGTGGTGCCGATGTGCTGATCCAGACCGGCGATCCGTCCACGGCATGTGTGCGTCGCCCCCCCCCCCCCCCCCTCTCCCCCCCAGGGGCGACGCGCGCACCGACTCTCACAGTATACGCTCCGTGGCGGGCGCTGTCTGGCCACACCGCAAGGGCAACGATGTACTACAAGATGGATATCTGATATGTTCGGGTCGGACGCGCGGCTCCATGGAGGACACCTAGCGTGCAGTCGCCTCCTCTCCTCCCTTCCTCCATTCCCCCTGTCTCCTCCGACTCACCTCTTTCTCCCTGGCCCCTCGTGCAGATTCGTAGGTCTCGTGTCTGGAATTTGGAGTGTTGGATAGAGACGCGGGCTCCTACAAAATCAGGATGGAGATTTAAGTTTCGTCGGCTGAAGAATGCGCAGCAAAGCCATGACTGTATGGACGCCTGTCTACAGCCACTCCTGCGACGACATATTCACAATCATTACTTTCGTGCTTTCTCGGGTCTCTTGGGAGCCAGGATCATTTTGAATTGTCTGATCGTCATGCAGTCGCGTCCTGGGCGAGCTTGGGGTCAGGAGGCCGCCCCGCCTTGGGCCAGTCCGAGGCCGTTCTGAAACCATCTTGGGGCGATCTTCTTCCTGGCCTCTTTGAGCATTGGGCCTCTTGGACGCTTGGTGGCTGTTGGGTCCCTCTCGGGCTCTCTTGGGGCATCTTTGTGGTCATCTGGTAGACGTCTTGGGGCCATATTTCTAGCTTGCTACGTGTTTGCGAGTCCCGGGGGGTGGGCCTTGGTGGGCGTTTTTGCTTGTCCCGAGCCGCCAAGCCCGCATCTGGAAGCGGGGAGGAGGGCGTTTCGCGCAGGCGGGCGCGGCGAGGAGGGGGTTGGCCTCTGGATAGTGCTGAAGCTGAGCCACACAGCACAATATGATCGTATTGCGCACAACTTCCCAGGGGCCAGCTTGCTTCTGTCCGCACATCGCAGGCGATCATCATGCGGCAGCAAACAGCCCGGCTGCGTGACGCAAAGGCTTCTTGGAAGTTTCTGATCGCCCTCTGTTCTCGTTGTGCCACTTCGCTTCGAGTTTTCGACTAGGAGCGTGTGTGTGTGTGTGTGTGTGTGTGTGTGTGTGTGTGCGTGTGCGTGTGTGTGTGTGTGTGTGTGTGTGTGTGTGTGTGTGTGTGTGTGCGTGTGCGTGTGCGCGTGTGTGCGTGTGTGCGTGCGTGCGTGCGTGCGTGCGTGTGTGTGTGTGCGTGTGTGTGTGTGTGTGTGTGTGTGTGTGTGTGAATTCAAGCCGTGGGCTTTCCCTGCTCCTTCATGTCCCTCTCTTTTTCAGCCCCCCCCTCCGTCCCCGCCCCTTCGTCCCCGCCCCGGAGGGGGAGGGCAGGCCGGCGAGAGGGGCAGGGGGAGGGGGCTGAGGGCAGGGGCGGAGCCCGCTCTTGCAGGGGGCCTGACACCCTCTCCCCAGTCCCTCTTGGCTGTCCACCCCCATCACTCCCCCTCCCCCCACGTCCCGGTCTCCTCCCAGCGTCAGGAGGGAACAAAAACACGTACATTATCCCAGTGCGACCCTACCTAGGAAGCAGCATTAGTAGTAACAGTAACGCTAAGCTAAAGCTAAGCTAAAGCTAAGCTAAAGCTAAGCTAAAGCTAAGCTAAAGCTAAGCCACAGCTAAGCTAAAGCTAAGCTACAGCTGAGCAACAGCTAAGCTACAGCTAAGCTAAAGCTAAGCTAAAGCTAAGCTAAAGCTAAGCTAAAGCTAAGCTAAAGCTAAGCTAAAGCTAAGCTAAAGCTAAGCTAAAGCTAGGCTAAAGCTAAAGCTAAAGCTAAAGCTCCCAGGGGACTGGGGGGAACCGCTCCCAGGGGACTGGGGGAACCGCCGTGGGCGTGTTCCACTGCCCGGCCCCTTTAAGCTAAGAGAGTAAGAACCCTTCTAGGCAGAGCCTAGGTAGGGAACAATTCATTGTCGATTCCCCAGAAAATATGGGAAAATGTGGGAAGTGGGGGGGAAGACATTATCCCAGTGCGACCCTACCTAGGAGTTGGAGCCCCTAGGAAAGCAGCATTAGTAGTAACAGTAAAGCTAAATTAAAGCTAAGCTGCAGCTAAGCTACAGCTAAGCTAAAGCTAAGCTAAAGCTAAGCTAAAGCTAAGCTAAAGCTAAGCTAAAGCTAAGCTAAAGCTAAGCTAACGCTAAGCTAAAGCTAAGCTAACGCTAAGCTAAAGCTAAGCTAAGTATAAGCTACATCTAAGCTAAACATAAGCTTAAGCTAAGCTAACGCTAAAGCTAAAGCTAAGCTAAAGCTAAGCTACCGCTAAGCTACCGCTAAGCTAAAGCTAAGCTGAAGCTAAGCTAAAGCTAAGCCAACGCTAAACTAAAACTAAGCTACAGCTAGCTAAAGCTAAGCTAAATCTAAGCTAACGCTAAGCTGAAGCTAAGCTAAAGCTAAACTAAAGTTAGCACTAAACTAAAGCTAAACTAAATCTAAGCTAAAGTCAAGCTAAATACAAGCTACATCTAAGCTATATCTAAGCTAAAACTAAGCTAAAGCTAAGCTAAAGCTAAGCTAAAGCTAAACCTGAAGCTAAAGCTAAAGCTAAAGCTAAAGCTAAAAGCTAAAGCTAAAGCTCCCAGGGGACTGGGGGAACCGCGGGGCGGGGACTGGGGGAACCGCCCAGGGCGCTTTCCACTGCCCGGCCCCTTTAAGCTAGAGAGTAAGAACCCTTCTTGGCAGAGCCTAGGTAGGGAAAAAACCAAGAAAATATGGGAATCTGATTATTTGTGTGTATTTATTTGTGTGTCCTGGGGCCCCTTTACTCTTGCCTGTCCACCCCCATCACTTCCCCTCCCCCCCACGTCCCGGTCTCCTCCAAGAGCGCTCCTGTCCTCGCACCCTGGCGCGCCAGCGGCCCGCAGGTGACCCCGCGGCGCAGAGCAACATGGCCGCCCTGATGTGGCAGATGCAGATGGCAGGACGGCCGCCGGCGGGGAGCCGCGGAGGGGGAGGCCCACACGCGCTGTGACGCCAGATTCGGGGGCGGCAAAGAGGGGGGTGATGACTAGGGGGGGGTGGATATCATGGCGTGGGCCATGATATTTCCCCAGATTTCCTGGCGCCCCTTCTTGTTTCATTACGTCCCTGGTCCCCCCGCTGGGCCGCGCACATGCCGCCGGTCATGATGTGCACCCCCCCCTCTTGGACACCCCCCTCTTGGCCGCTCCCGACAGATGGGTCGGCGACTTTAATCCATGGGTCCACGCGTTGAGCGTCGCGGCGCCGTCCAGGCTGGTGTTGAGGTCTCGGCGCTGCCGTGCAGACGGCCTCTTTTTTCTCCCGCTGCTCCCCACTTCCTCCCCTCTCCGTTCTCTCTCTCTCTCTGTCTGTCTCTCTGTCTCTCTCTTTCTCTCTCTCTCTCTCTCTCTCTCCCTCTCTTTCTCTCCACCCTCCCTCCGCTCCAGCCGCTCGCTTCGCTCCCTCCTCCCCCCTCTCGTCGGCAGCAGTCCCCTCCTGTCTGTGGACCTGCCCGCCCATCACGGCAGGAGGGGCGCAGTACCCGACACTCCCTTCTCCCTCTTCTCTCTTCGACAGCAGCCCTCTCCTGTGGACCTGCCTGCCCATCACGGCAGGACGGGCGCAGTACCCGATGCTCCATTCTCCCTCCTCTCTCTTGGACAGCAGCCCCCTCCTTCGGTAGCAAATCATGGGAGCCTTGTGTACCCTCGTAATTCTGTCTCTAGCATCGATTAGCGTCCATTGACGTCTGGGAGTCGATGAGACAGCGCCGATTCAGCGTCGGTTAGCGTCGATTAGCGTCGATTGGCGTAGATTTAGCTTACGCTATCGCCGATTCGTAGGAGCCGAACCCTCCTGTGGACCTGCCTGCCCATCACGGCAGGAGGCGCGCAGAACCCGATGATGCCCGGCATGCCCCCGATGCCGTGGCCCCCTGCCATGCCGCCGCTCTCGCCCGTGCTGCACGTGCGCGTGGACGGCCTAAGGCCGCCGCCCCGCCGCTTGTCATCGCCGTCGCCGCCGCCGTCGCCGTCGTCGTCGTCATCGTCGCCGTCGTCGTCGGCGTCGCCGTCGCCGTCGCCGTCGCCGTCGCCAGCGTCGCCGCCGTCGTCGTCGGCGTCGGCGTCGGCGTCGGCGTCGGCGTCGGCGTCGGCGTCGTCGTTCTGCTTCTTCTCCCTCCCCGTCCTTCTTCCCCCCTCCTTCCCTCCTTCCCCGCCCTCCCCCTCCTCTACAGCTCTCTCGCCCTCCTGTCCTGCAGCTCCCAGCTTGTTGCTGACGGATTCGACTCCGAGGGCGCGCCGCTGAGGATGCCCCCAAGGGGGCTCCGGCCAGTGCGCCGTCGGCGCCCCCCCCCGCTTCCCAGTCCGCCGTCGGCGGACCCCTCCCCCTTTCAACAGGGGGGGGGTTCGAACCCCCCCCCTTTCCCCCCCTTTGGAACCGAGATTCGAACCCTTCCCCCTCCCCTTTTACCGGGGGGGGGGGGGTGCGGACCCCCCCCCCTTTTCTGTAGAACTTTCGCTCCGGACCCCTTTCCCCCCCAACCCTTACCCCCGAACCCCTAACCCTAACCTGAAACCCTAGCCCCAACTTAACTCTCACCCTAACCCTAACTCTCACCCTGACCCTTACCCTCACCAGCACCCTAACTACCCCTCTAACCCTCACACTAAGCTCTAACCCCTAACCTCTAGTTCTTAACCCCAACCCCCGAACCCCTAACCTCGAAAACCTTTGTAACCCTCACCCTAAATCTAAACCTACTACCCTACCCGAACCTGAACCTCATGACCCCCTGACCCTAACGCTGACACCCTAACCCTAACCCCCAAGCCTAACCCCCGAACCCGAACCCTAACCGCGTAACCCTCACCCTAACCATAGCCCGACCCTCCTAACCACCCTACCCTTAACTTCCTTCCTGACACCCGAGCCCTAAATCCTAACAGCCTAACCCTAATCCCCTGACCCCAACCCTCACCATACCATTCTAATTCGAAGCCCATAACCCCGTAACCCTAACCCTCTAGCCCTAGTCCTCACACCTAAAGCCCAACTCCCTAGCCCGAACCCTGACCCTACCCCCCCACACCTACCACCCTCACCGTGACCCCATAACCCCGAACCCTAACCCTAACACCCTAACACCCTAACCCTGCCACCCTTATCCTAACCCCCTGACGCTATCCCTATCACCCTAACCTGAACCCCACCACCCAAACCCTAGCCCCCTAACCTGAACCCCAACCCGAACAGCCTCATCCGAACCCTCTAACCCTAATGCTAACCCTAACCTCGTAACCCTAACCCTAGTACCCTAACCCAACCCCCCTGACACTAACCCTAACCCTACCACCCTGCCCGTACTACCCTAACCCTTACCCCTAGCCCTACCCCAGCACCTTACCCCTGACCCTAATCCTCACCCTGTCACCCTGTTCCTAACCCCCGAACTTTGACCCTAACCTGAACACCCTAATTCTAACCCTATCCCCCTAATTGTAGCCTAACCCTAACCCCTACCCTTAACCCCCACCCGAACACCCGAACCTAACCTTACCATCCTAATCCGAAGCCCCATGACACTACCCCCTTACACCCTAACCCTAACCCTACCACCCAAACCCGAACCCTGACCAGACCACCCTATTCCTAAGCCTCTCACCCTATCCCTAAATCCCAAACCCCTAATCCTAACCTTACCCCTAACTCTAACCCTCCCACCCTAACCCTAACCCCACTAAGCCCCTAACCCTAACCCTAACACCCTGACACCGCAACCCTACCACTCTAATCTTTACCCCCTGATATTATCCTGATCACCCCAACCTGCACCCAAACCCTAACCCCCTAACCCGAACGCTGACCCGAAGAGCCTGGTCCGAACCCCCTAACCCGAACTCCAACCCTAACACTGACTCTAGCCCCCTAACCCTAACCTTATACCCTGATCAAAGCCCCCTGACCCTAACCCTGACTTTCTAACCCCTACCCCAGCACCTTACCCCTGATCCTAATTCTAACACTACCACCGTCACCCTAACCTCCGAACCCTAACCCTAACTTGAACACCCTAACTCTGACCCTGCCACCCAACCCTAGGCCCCTAATCCTAACCCTAGTCATTTTATAACCATAGCGCCCTGACCCTAGCACCCTAACCCTGACACTCTTACCCCAACCCACCCACCCTAACCCTGACACCACCATCTCCGGCGCATCACAGGGAAGCGGGAGGTACTCCCCCCGCCCCTTTGTCTGGCGCAAGGGGGTGGGGGGGGTCCGTCCGAAATCCCCTCCCCCCCCCTTCGCCACCCCATTCTCCGGCGCAAAGGGTAAAAGGGGGAGAGGGGGGGGGGTCCGAACCCCGCGCCCCCCCCTCCTTTGAAAGGGGGGGATGGGGATCCGCAAACACCCCCTTTTTCAAGGGGGGGGTGGGGGACTCAGTTAGCACGCGACCCCTCTACTATTACGGGGCACCCAGTGGCGCGCTTTCCTCCCATCGGGCCGGGCAGGCCGGCAGGGTTTCGAAGGCAGGTCTCGGGCCCTCAGCAGGCTGTCGGCTGCCTTGAGATCGCTTTTCGTTTAGTCGGGCGGCTTCGAGGAGCTTCCATGGTGGTGGGGTGTCTCCTCCCCCTCCTACAACTCGAACGGTCTGTTCCCTGTGCCCCTGTCCCTTTTCCCGCCAGTCTTGCATCTGTGGGTGCCTTGGCATTTGGCTCAAGGGGTCCCTTTGCGCGCCCGCCTTATCCCCGTAGTGCTGTCGCCTCATACAGGCCTCTTCTGTTCGCCGATGCAGTAACATGCCACATCTCCCCTCCGGCCTCTACTTTGTCTTCGGCTCGCGCATGGAGTGGGGGCGCAGGCAGGTCTGAAGCTCGCTTCTGCTGTGCCACGCCGGTATCCTGCTCCACGGAGCCGAGCCGCGCCTTGGTGCCCACCGCGACGTTCACGAGCACCACGCCAGTATTGGGCTCTGCGGAGTCGAGCAGCACTAGGGGGCCGTCACGAAGTTTTCGAGGACCACGTCGGCGTCCAGCTTCATGGGGGCAAGCCGTGCCACGGCGTCCACCACGTCGTGCTCGAGGATTACGTCAGCGCCCAGCTCCGAGGAGTCAGGCAGTGCCGCGGTTTCCGCCGCGACTTGCCCGAAACCCTTGGCAGCCCCTGTCCGCGCTGCTGCGCGCCCCGCGCGCTCGCGCTCCGTCGCGCCCAGGCGCCGCTGCCAGTGGCGGTTGGGTATGTTGCCGAGTGGCCGTTCGGTTTGCGCGACCGCCTGCAGGTGGTCCGGCGCAGAAGACCATGCCGAAGGCAGGGCGCTTCCACAGGGGCTTGGACCAGTGGGTGACGCGGCCTCTTGGGATACCTCCCGCGGTGCCGCCCGCGTGGGTTGCAGATGACCTGCTGCGCAGGGGCGACGCGCCAGGCCCCCCCCCCCGAGCTCGAGGCTCGACGGGCCCTTTGGGTGGACTTCGAGTGAGGACGTCGACCACGAGTGGTTTCTCTCTTCGACGCTCCTCCTGCTGAAGCCTCGGCGCACGAGCTCCAGCGCATCTTGCGCGAGCGCCTTCTCTGTGCCGCCCGTCCGGCGGCTGGCCGTGCGGATCCTGCGCGCGCGGGCGGGCGCGCCTGCCGCCGTTCCCGTGCTGGCCGGCCGCCGTCTCGCCGGTCTGGGCCGCACGGCCCAGACTGGGCCGTCGTCTCGCTCTACCCGCCGAGGCTCAGGAGGAAAAGACACACACACACAGACACAATTGATCCTCGATTCCCCAGAAAATCTGGGAAGATATGGGAAGTGGGGGGGAAGACAGAAACCCAGAAAATATGTGAAAATATGGGGAATATTTTTACTTGTGCGTATTTATCCGTAAGGGCTTCGCCCCCTGCCGCCGGCCCCCTCTCTCGGAGAATGGGCCATGGAAGAGCTAAGTCATGAGGCCTTGGCGCTGTCGTGAAGCAGTATCGAAACTTCATGCGAAGCCGAGTCGCAATCAGCAAAACCAACTGATCACAAGAGGGGTTACCACACCTGGCGATTGGTAAGACGTGTATGGTTTAAGGGCTTGGTTACCACACCTTGCGATTAAAGGGCCGAGGGAGTTCTCGCAGTTTGGGTTACCACGCCTTGCGATGGATGTGCGTGATGGGTTGGCACCGAATTTCAGAAATGTGGCAAATCCCATGTGTTTTTGGACCCTGACCCCGCGGATCTGCGTGAGGGGTGGCACCGAATTTCAGAAATGTGGCAAATCCCATGTGTTTTTGGACCCTGACCCCGCGGATCTGCGTGAGGGGTGGCACCGAATTTCAGAAATGTGGCAAATCCCATGTGTTTTTGGACCCTGACCCCGCGGATCTGCGTGAGGGGTGGCACCGAATTTCAGAAATGTGGCAAATCCCATGTGTTTTTGGACCCTGACCCCGCGGATCTGCGTGAGGGGTGGCACCGAATTTCAGAAATGTGGCAAATCCCATGTGTTTTTGGACCCTGACCCCGCGGATCTGCGTGAGGGGTGGCACCGAATTTCAGAAATGTGGCAAAATCTGCGTGAGGGGTGGTGAATTTCAGAAATGTGGCAAATCCCATGTGTTTTTGGACCCTGACCCCGCGGATCTGCGTGAGGGGTGTCGATTTCGAGCCCCCCCAGCAATTCAGACAACGCGCCCAGGGGGTGCTAAAAAATCCTGTTTGGGCCTCCCCCCCCTCGCGCGGTCAATCAACTAGTTACAGTAACCAGCAATCAGTCAACTAGTTACAGTAACCAGCAAGAAGCAGAACTGTAACACTGGAAACTACAAACTACAACTGGTACAGGAAACTGCGAATCACGCGCCTCGCAGCCTGGTGGCCCCACAAGGGGGCCGGCGGATTTGTGTGTCCTGGGGCCCCTTCAGAGGCCGCTCCCAAACAACTCGAGGCCGAGCTGGCTTGACATGCCCCCTCGGGCGCCTGGCGGGAGCTCCGAGGCGACCTCTCAAGGCGAGCGCGCGCGCTTGGTCCCGCGCGGCCAGGCCCCCGAGGCCAAGGCGTGGGCCAGGGCGGCGTCCGCTGGCTGGTCGCTGCCACTGCCGTGGATGTAAGAACTATGAGCGCGAAGCCAAGTCATGATGCTGGAATTCCGCCATTCAAGGAGAATGCATGCAGTCCGGGGTACGACAGCACGTGTTTCAAAGCACCTGCACTTGTGGTCCGCGTTTATTTTCTACAGGTTCGGGGGCGGCCGCCGATCGTGCCCAGCCTGGAACTCGTGGACTTTGCATGGCGAAATTCCAGCGTTGCGTATCAGTTTCGCGTATTTGTTTCCGTCCGCGGTTTTCGGCGAGGCTGACCCGAGGTACCATTCTGAATTCTATAATCGATGTGGGGCTCGCGCCCGTTGACCGTTTCGGCGCTCGGGTTTTGAATGGCCGGGGCGCCGAACGCATGTAATGCCGCGGGCAATGTCAATGCAGAGGAAGCGGCCCCGACGACAGCGCGGAAGCCACATGAGAATTTCCTCTGTACGGATTGCAATTCAGTCCGGGGAGTGGAGCAAGGCTCGGCCTCAGGGCGGGCGCGCTTCAACGCCTTCCCCAGAAGGGGGATAAGGGTTGGGAGAAGGGGAGTGACCCAGCGCGGCGGCGAGCGCACCTTTCCGATCAGGCTGCGCGACCCATGGGCTGCAACGGCTTCAACGTTACGACATGTTCGGATCTCGCCTGGCTCAAGCGACAGGAGTGGCGTTCTGGGGCTTTCTGCTGTTTCCTGTGCTAGCCTGGCTGTGGCTATCCGATCCTGGGATCGCTGGGAATGGCGTTCTAGGGCGTTGCGGTTTTCTCGGTCTTATCTTGGCTCTGACGAAACGGTGACGAAAGCCACGAAGTGCGATGGGGTTGCAACTTTCCAACGTTATGAACGACTGTTTGGAGCTCCGGAATAAGACTTCCTTGCCAAACCGATTTGGACGCCCGACATGGGTACCGAAAGAATGGGCACTATGCCCAACAACAAATGTTGTCCCAAGCCAACAGCGGCCGCTGTTGGGCAGGCGGCCTCCTGTCTCGAATGGACACAGGCCGCGGCAGCGTGGACAGCGAATCCTGTTCAAAATGAACAGGAACTGCTGTTGGGCATTGTACCCATCCTTTCGGTACCCATTTCGGGCGTCCAAAACCGATGCCAGTCATAACGTTAAGCATTCGTAGATGTGAAGAAGTTAGTAATCTTCATTATCAATTTTTCAACGTTATGATCGGCGTCGTTTTGATGAGGAAGTCTTGTGTCAGAGCTCCAAAAGTCATTCGTGGTGTTGGAAAGTTGCAGCTCTATCTGGCCTGTCATCATCGCTACGTCATAGCAAGGCTCGGACCGACAAAAGCCGCCCCGCCCCAGAACGCCATTCCTGGCGATCCCGGGATCGTTTCGTCATAGCCGAGCTGGCGCAGACAACGGCGGAGCGTCCCAGAGCGTCCTTCCTGGCGATGTCCTCGGGGTCTCGCGGGAGCCGGGCGAGATCCGAACGTATCGTAACGAGCCTATCAGCCACGTGGCCTGATCGGAAAGGTGCGCTCGCCGCCGCGCTTTTTTTTTTTTTTTTTTTTTTTTTTTTCGGCTCGATGTCCAGTTGGACCGAAAAGGACCGAGAAAACGGGCCCAGGAGTTTCGGGGACGAGGGTCACTTCCTTCATCTCCCCTTCCCCCTCTTCCGGGGAGGCGTGTGCGCGCCCGCTCGGCCGCCGAGCCCTGCGCCGGCCCCGGGCCGTGTCGTCGGCGGACTTCACGGACTTATTGCAGTTCGAACAGAGGCGGCTTTCACGAGGGTTCCGCGCTGTCGTCGGGGCTGCGTTCGCTGCGTTGAGATTGCCCGTGGTAGCGGGTGCGTTCGGCGCCCCAGCTTTTCGAAGCCCGCGCGCCAGAACGGTCGGCGGGCGTGAGCCCCAAATCGCACATACAACTCAGGGTGGGCCCTCGAATCAGCCTTGCCGGAAGGCCGTGGATGTGAGAAGTTAGCGCGAAACCAAGCCATGACGCTGGAGTTCTGCCGTTCGAAGAGAATACATGCAGTCTTTGCCGCGACAATCTGGGGCTCAGACTCTGCACTTCTGGCTGGCGTTTTTTCTATGTATGTTCGGGGGCGGCCGCCGACCGTGCCCAGCTTGGGGCCCGCGGACTTTGAATGGCGAGGTTCCAGCGTTGCGTATCAGTTTCGCGTATTTGTTTCCGTCCACGGTTTTCGGCGAGGCTGACCCGAGGTACCACTCTGAATTCCATGCACGATGTGAGGTACCATTCTGAAGTCTATGCACCGTTGCGACGCATACTCGCGATAAACTGCTTGCACTCCCGGCAGTGGCGGCGCCCGCGGGTCGCGCCCGCAGAGCCCGCCACATCGGGAGGCCCCCTCGCAGGCCCTGCCCCTCCCGCCGGGGGGCGCCGACCCGCCGCCCCGGGATGTGGCGGCGCCCGGCCCGCCGTGCTCTGCCGAGGCCGGCCCCGCGGCCGCACGGGGCTGCGGAGGCCGCCGCCGCAGGAGGCGCCGATTTCAGGAGGAGGAGGAGGAGGAGGAGGAGGAGGAGGAGGAGGAGGAGGAGGAGGAGGAGGAGGAGGAGGAGGAGGAGAGGAGGAGGAGGAGGAGGAGGAGGAGGAGGAGGAGGAGGAGGAGGAGGAGGAGGAGGAGGAGCGAGGAGGAGGAGGAGGAGGAGGAGGAGGAGGAGGAGGCCTAGAGGTTGACACCAACACCAGGATCGGCGGCGTTCCTCCACCGAGGGGAGAAGCTCCCGATCTCGGTGATGGTGGTACTGTTCTGGCTTCCAAGGTGACCGAACTATTACCACCAACACCGCATTCAAGGATCGTCTCCACCCTGTGGAGGCAGCCCCGTGTTTTGGTGTTGGTGCCCATTTCCAGGCTCTGCTGGCCGGCCCCGCTGCTGCCGGGCTGCTGAGGCCGCCGTCGCAGGATTCAGGAGCGACAGAAGGACGTCCACGTACATGAATCCACGTTGGTTTCGAGAGTACGCCTTGCGCAAATGTTCGTAGAACGCGGCCGGTCTCGCGGATCGAGGGGCCGTGTTCATGTGCACGGCTGTGGGCGTACGTCCTCTGTGGGCTCCCTAAGGATGCGCCGATTTCGGAGCTCGACGACCTCCTGCGCGACCCGTCCGAGCTGCCCCAGCGTCGGCGCCGCGGCTCGCCAGCTCCGCGTGTCCGCCGCCGCCGCCGCGGCGCCCGGGGGCAGCTGCAGCGCGGCCCGGTCGTTTCCCGGGTGAGGTTGCCGCGGACGCTTCGTCGGGCGGCGGCTGTCGCTGCGCCGCTGCTTGTGCGGGCGGGGCTGTGCTGCGCGAGCGGGTGCTCTAGCTGAAGTTGCTCCTGGCGGCTCGCTGGCCATTCGCCCGCGCCTGCGTCGCTTCCGCGTCGCCCCCCGCCGTCAGTTCTCCTTCGCGTGGGTCTCCCCGCGCTCGGGCCGCCTGTCTGTCAGGGTTCGCAGTTCCTTTTTGGCGGTGCCTGCGGTTGACGCCCCAACCTCGCGTCGCCGCGAGCGCGGCGCCTGGGTGGCTGGAGCTGCTCCGAGCGCTTCGCTTCCGCTCGCCAGTCCTCGCGCGGGCGCGGGTCGGTTGAGGGGGCGCGCCTTCCCCCGCGGCATTCTGCTGCAGGCAGGGCGCGGGCGCGCCCCCGTGCAATTGTCGTTTTTGCTGATGGTTAGCGGCTTGCAGCCGCGGGAGCGCTTTCTCCAAATGTGGTTGGCGGACATAGCTTCCCCGGGCCGCCTCGCCCAGCGGGCGCGCTGTCAGTTCCGTCGCGCCCCTGCTGCCGAGTCGCCGCGGGAGGCCGCAGGCAGCTGCCTCTCTTCCCATCCTGGTCCCGGGCGAGCGCGTCGGCCTCCGCCTCCGCTGCTGAGGGCGTCGACTCCCCACCGGCCCGAAGGATTGCAAAAAAACCGCCGCCCCGGAGGGCGCGGCGGTCTGACTCGCGCCGCCCCCGCGGGTGGCCGTGGGCCGCGCGGGCTCCGCCGCGCGTCGGCCCGCGCCTGGCGCGCGCGCGCGCGCGTCGGAGCCCGCGGCGGGCGCCTCGAGAGGCGCCCCCCGCGCCGGGGCCGCCGCGGAGCCGCGGCCCGCTCCCCGCCCACTTTCGGCGCCCACTTTCGCCGCCCACTTTCGGCGCCCACTTTCGCCGCCCACTTTCGGCGCCCACTTTCGCCGCCCACTTTCGCCGCCCACTTTCGCCGATGGGGGGGCGGGCCGCGAGGCGCCGGCATGTGGGTCTGAGTGGCGCGGAGGGAGCGGCGCGCGAGAAGTTGCGCGCCGCAGCGTTGATGGGGGGGGGGATGTTTGTTCGCCGTGCAGAGCAGCCGTGCAGACGTGCGCCGTCGGTTGATAGTCATTCGTCTTGCTTCCTCCCGTGGTATTCTTCTTGAATCTCCTGCCAGAATGCAGGCGCCACTCATGCCCTCTCACGCGGGCCTACGAGGTATTTGATGGAGTCGTTGGATTCCTGCAGGAATCCAGTCGGTTTCCGTTGGGGCCAAGAGCCCTCATGGGGAAACAAGCAAACAATCTCTCGAGCAGGCAATGTTTCCATCCTCGCCTCGGGCTCCGAGCAAGGCCCCGGACATCCGCTGCACATCATAGTCGCAACTTGAATTTCTCTTCCGCGAAACCTCTTGCGGGGTCAACGCGCAGAGCTCAATCGCGTGGCGTACGTCCCGCAATCATTTCTCCGCGTGAATCTTGGTCCAGGGTTCCCAATGGTGTCCTCGCGGGCGTGGTCGCATTGAACATCCTCTTCGTGAAATCCATCGCCGTCCTCCCTTTGGACCCAAGCGCCCTGGCTCTCTCTCTCTCTCTCTCTCTCTCTTTTTTTTCCTCGTCCATCATCCTGGTCGTCGTTGTTGTCGTCGTCGTGGTCGTGGTCGTGGTCGTCGTCGTCGTCGTCGTCGTCGTCGCCGTCGTTGTCATCATCTCATCTTCCCTCTCCGCTTCCCCCGTCCTCTTCCCCCTCTCCCTTCCTCCTGCCTCCTGTACCCCGTCGTCCGTCTCCTCATCCTCGGGTTGCTTACGGGGTCTTTTGCGGTTCGTTGGCCCGTCGGGCTGGCGAGCTTTTGCTCCCCGTGCCGTTCGGACTCCCTCGTGCGCACAGGTTCGAATACCAGCTCACGGAGGACGACGTGCGCAAGGCTTCGTGGGCGCCATCACCAAACTTGTAGTCAGTCCGACCGAGGGAGGACGAGGGATGAAGAGGGGGCAGGGAAAAGGAGGATGGACCCCCCACCTGGACCGCAGGAGGACTAGCAGTACCAGTCCCCTAGACCTGAGAGTGGGCACCCCTGAACAGAGAACAACTGCAGTTGGGTTCCCTGCTTGGGTCGAGGGGGACGAGGGCCCCCCCCCCGGGGGGACCCAACAGCCTCCCGCGCCTTGAGGACACCAGTGACGCAGAGGGGGGTATGGGCAGTGTGGGAGTTCACCGCTGACCGCAGCTAGGGCTGGGTCGGGCGTGTCCTGCTACAGGCGCATTTCGGACGATATATATATATATATATATATATATATATATATATATATATATATATATATTAAATTCTCAAACATATTCAGAACACAAGTTTGAAGATCGTCCAAGACTATGTTTTTTGACATTGTTGGAATACCCCCCCTGCAGAGGGACACGCCCGCCTCGAGACTGCGGCCCCGCCCGCCCGCGCCAGCCCTGGTGCCATTTGCAGCACGCAGGCCGGCGGGGGGACCTCTCCCCGAGGTGCGGCACCCCCCGGGGCCTCCGCCGCTAGCCCCGGAGGCCTTTCGCAGGAGAAGCTCCTGGAACGCTTTGCCTCGCAGAGGTGCTCCGCGCGACGCGGACGAGTGGTGGGCCGCCCCTTGCCTCGGAGTGGCGCGACAGGGACCCTTACCAGCCTCGAACGTATCCCTATCCCTAAGATTGACACGCCAAAAGGCGATGACGATCTTGGGGATTCGCCCTCAAAAAGTAAGGGAATCCCTGAGATTGGCACCGTGATGAGGAGGTGCCCAGCCTAGGGATAGGGATATGTTCCAGGCTGGTAAGACCCGGACGAATGGTGGGCTGCCCCTTGCCTCGGAGTGGCGCGACCGGGAGGTGGCCGTCCGGACGCCGCTGCCCTTCTCGGATCGCCCCCACCCAGAGGGGGTCGGCCGACGGGGGGGGGCAGGGAGAGCTCCCGCGGCGCACGCGGCAGGAGCGCGGGGAGGGCCGGCCGAGGGTTCCCGCAGGCACCCGGGAAAGTCCTCAGAGCCCCCGGGGCGGGAGCGGGGGGGGCAGCACGCACCCCAGATCACCCCATCCAGCACGATCCCGCCATGACGGCAGTCGGAGTGCTGGCGACGGCGGCTGGACGTGCGCCTTGGACGTGCGCACGCACACACACGCGCACGCACACGCACGCGCACACGCACGCGCACACGCACGCGCACAAGCACACGCACAAGCACACGCACACGCATACGCACACTCATACGTATACGCATACGCACACGCATACGCATACGCACACGCATACCCATACGCATACGCATACGCATATGTATACGCATACGCATACGCACGCACGCACGCGCGCACGCACGCACGCACACACACACACACGAATCTATACACACATACACATAGACACACATACACACATCCATATATACACATATACACACATACAAACATGCACACACATACTTTCACACATACGCACATTCACATACACCGAAACACACATGCACACATACACATGCACGCACATACACACATACACACATACACATACACATACATACACACGTACACATACACATATACACATACACATACACACATACACACAGGCAAACATGCACGCATTCACACATACACATATTCACATATACACATACACACATACACACGTACACATGCACACATACACTCATACACACATCCACACAAACACACATGCACACATGCACGCATGCACACATACACACTTACACAACTACACACATACTCCCTTCCCCGTTACACATACGCACAGAGGCACACGCACACATACACATACACGCATACACGCACACACACACACATACACACATACGCACATACGCACAACCGCACACACATACACATACATATACACATACGCATAGACATGCACATACACATGCGCATACACACATACACATACACAAGTACGTACACATATACCTGCACATACTCACTCATTCACTCATTCACTCACGCACTCACACACAGACACACGTATGCACGCACGCACGCATTCACGCACACACGCACACACACACGCACAACCGCACACACACGCACACACGCACGCACACGCACATACACACATACGCACATACACACATACATAAATGCACACATGCACATAGGCACACACAGAAACATGCACACATACACCCATACTCACACACATACGCACATACACACATAGGCGGATACACACTCATACTCATGCACGCACATGCACACATACACATATACACAAATCTTCATTTGCACACATACACAAATACACACATGCACACATACACATATACGCATGCACGCATGCACACATACACATACACACATACACACATACTCCCTTCCCCGTTACACATACGCACATAAACACATGCACACATACACATACACATACACGCATACACGCATACACACATACACACATACGCGCACACGCACACACACATACACGTACACATACACATACACATAGACATTTACATACACATGCGCATACACATATAGGTACATATGCACATACACATGTACATGCACATACTCACTCACTCACTCACTCATTCACTCACGCACTCACACACAGACACACGCATGCACGCACGCACGCATGCACGCACAAACACACGCCCGCCCGCACACGCACACGCACACACACGCACACACACATACGCACACGCACGCATGCGCGCACGCACACACACAGCATACAACGCACAACACAACACACAACACACAACACATAACACACTACACAAAATACACAGCACACAACACGCAACACACAACACGCAGCACACAACACACAACACACACAACACACAACACACGCAACACACAGCACACGCAGCACACAACCCACAACTCACAACACACTACACACAACGCACAACACACAGCGCACAGCACGCAACACAACACACAGCACACAACACACAATGAACAACACACAACACACCACACACACATCGCACAACACACAACACACAGCACACAACGCACAACACACAACACACAACACAACACAACACAACACACAACACACAAGGCACACACATAGCGTGCGTGAAAGGAGAGGCTGCGCTGCCGCGCGCCGCAAAGCAAGCAACACTGCTTCATTGCTGTCCAGGAGCTACGCACACCCACGTGCCCCAAGACGAAGAACTCAGCCCGCCAGCGGCTGAGGGGCCGCATGGCCTGGAGCACATCCCAGCAGAGCTCGCCCCGGAGGCCAGCCTCGAGATCCTTGACCGCTCCGTCGCAGAGGGTAGGGGGACTGGGCGATCACGGACTTTCGCCCTGGCCTGCCCTTTCCCCAGGCATTTGCTGGCGACCTGCTGCTGGTCTGCCACAACGTAAGCCTCGCGCTGCTCCCCCGGGTGGGCCAGGGACCAGACCAGCCAGTTCTCCACGCCCCAGCTCGAGAGCAGCCTCCCAGATCGGCTTGCTCAAGACAGCCCCTCGGTCGCGCGGGCATCCAGGAAGACCGACCAGTACAGATCGTCCTCGGGAAGGGCCCATTGCCCTGCGCGCCAGCGCGCCACGTCAACAACGCCCCGCCCTGTGCCGGAGATGACCCAGCCCAGTTCCGCCCCTGCTGCCGTCGGGCCCACCTGCAATACGCCTCGTCCAAAGCCGCCGCGCAGTCTTCCTCGACGCACCACGGCCACCGCCCGAAGCGGAGGTCTCCTTCGGTCTTCCTGTTGGAGATGCTGGCCGCAACCTCAAAGGGAACATCGCCAGTGACCACTTGGCCCGCCAGGGAGGCAACCTGTGCTGCCGCCGCTGCCAGGCGCGCGCAGCACGTGGCACCCAGGTCCACACCGCCCCGCCACAGAAGGCCCAGCCACTGATGCACATGCACCACCCCCAGCTGGACGTGCCTGCGCAGGGATCTCAGCAATTCCACGCATGCTGCTCGCTCCTCCCTCCCTCCCTCCCTCCCTCCCTCCCTCCATCCCTCCTCCCTTGCTCCTTCCCTCCCTCGTCCTCCCTCCTCCCTCCTCCCTCCTCCTCCCTCCTCCTCCCTCCAGGATCCAGGCACGGCACAGCGTGGCACCTTTTTCGCAGCCTGGGCTGCAAGCACGGCGCGGGCACGGCGCGGCACGGCAGGGCACGGCACCGCTTCCTCCCCGCCCGGGGCTCCTGGCGCTGCGCGGGCACGGCACGGCACGCGCACGCGCACGCGCACGGCACCCGGGCACGGCGCGGCACGGCGCGGCACCGTGTTCCGCACTGTGGGCCGCAGGCCTGGTGCGGGCGTCGGGCCTGGAGCGGGCTCGGGGGCGGAAAAGAGGGGGGTGATGACTAGGGGGGGTGGATATCATGGCGCGGGCCATGAGATTTCCTCAGATTTCATGGCGCTTCTTCTTATTTCATGACGTCCCAGGCCCCCCCGCTGGGCCGCGCACATGCCGCCGGTCATGATTTGCCCCCCCCCCCCCCTCTTGGACACCCCCCTCTTGGCCGCTCCCGACGGGCGTGGCAGGGTCCGGCACGTCCAGCATCCCATACCCTCTTCAGGACAGGCTGTGGGGGCTTCAGCCACAGCCGCAGCACAGCGCACGGCGTCTCCAGCAAGGAGCCTCGCCCACCGGCAACCATCGCCGTGAGCTTCAAGTGCTGAAGAGCTGGAGGGATCCTGAGGGACACATGGGGTGCAACCCTCGCAGGGTGGTCTATATTTGCCCCGATCCGAACTAAACCCATGGCGTGGAATCCACATACCATGCCTTTGCATTTCGCTGCTACTGACCTGAACTTTGAGCTTGAATCAGGAGCAGGAGTAGGATGGAGTATGTGGATTGTAAAGGATGGAAGGGCGCGAGGATCCAGCAGGAGTGAGGGCGGAGGAGGGTCCAGAGGAGAAGGTGGACGGCGGAGGGAAGAGGGAGGGAGGGAGGAAGAGGACGC